TCAAGTGTGGCAGCGGTAGTGAGGTTGGCCCAGGATCGGACATTGTTTCGTTCTGCTGTGCATGGGGTCGCTATGAGTCCGTGCCAACTCGATGGCACCTGACAACAACAACAACAGTGGTTACGAATCAGGCTGATACCTTAAGCAGTTCGAAACTACCAGCAGCCTTTCCTCGAGAGAATCCTGAGGTTTTTCTGCTCAGGTAAAGATTTACAGCCTTGGAAACCCTGTAAGTCTCCAGGGCACATAACCACTTCAATATGGGATCATCCCGACAGTAATAAGGTCGGCAGTTCAAGCTCACCAGCTGCTCTTCGCAAACCCTATACAGGGTCGCTATGGGTCGGAACCGAGTCGACGAACTTCACAACAAGTCTATATTAATGAAAACAAGCATGGGAATCGTTGAGGAACGAGAAGACCATAAAGTGTCAAGCAATGGTACATGAAGAAACTGTTGGTATATGGTTATTTTTCAGGGGATAAATTTCACGTCTTCTGCTGTTGAGAATACCATAACAAGAAATACGCCAATTCAGCATTTTCTCAAATTGCTGTTGTCAACTTGATTTCATATAGATAGCTCTTAAAATATCATAACGCTCAAAGCGAAATGTTTTTCCTCTCCCTTTTGGTTCTCAACCCCAGCACTCGCCTGCCTTTCAGGGCAGATCTTTTTAACTAGTTAACCTTAACAATTTATTATTTGGTTTTAAGACTTCAGGGGATAATTTCGATCATTCCCGTTGCTGGATTGGTATGCTTTGCTGTGTAGTTTCAAAAATAACAAAATAAGTGACATCTAAGGAAACTTAGGAACCTCAAAGCTATTTAAATGGAAGTGGAAACCCGGGGCCACTGAATCTGCAAAAGACTAGTCAAAGTCGGTAGTGAGAAGGGGTAGACAATTAGGTCGACCATGTAATTGACTGTGAGCAATCGTTATTCAGCCCCACTACCTTCGGACCAGCCGAGATACCAATTCTAGTTGCGGCTATTTAAAGCCAAAGTACTTGGCCTTTTTACAGTTACGGTGGGTATTTTTTTTTTTTCTTAGTTTGTGAACCCTGCCCTCCAGTGTGATGACAAGAATACTCTCCATCTCCCGAACCCCCGAACTAGAACGGATAAAAATGCTCTAAGAAGAGAAATGTGCTCCATACTCTCAGCATGCTGCGGGGCATCCTGGGAGAGATATGCAAATGAGTGGTGTCAGCAGTGGCCTTGCCTCTGCTATTCTTTTCAAGGTCCCCATAGGCTGAGTACTCTGCTTGCAGGCTGCCGGTATGGGCAAGTCTCCTTGCTCCCTGCTCCTGAACCCAGCCGGTTCCCCTACCCTAGGAGCCCTCCCACCCCCACCCCAACTTCCCGAGAGCCTCATCCTTGGAGACCTTCACTGCAGGAGCCTCCACCCTGAGAGCCCGCCTGCCCAGGATTCCCTTCCTGGGAGACCCTAACCCTAGGAGACCCCACCCCCTAGGACCCTGACCTGGGAAATCCCTGCCCCAGGAGACACCCCCCTCGGCCCTGCACACCGTCGTGGCTGATGCTCCCCTCTACTGAAGACTCCTCCCTCCCTGAACCCCAGACCTGCCAGAGGTCCATGCTGGGGATGGACAACCAATTCTTTAATAATAAAAACCGCTGACTTCTAAAGCATGGGGCCTACAGATGCGGACAGGTGACAAGGACCTTTTCCCAGAGCCAGTGGTCAGGATTCAGACTTCTAGCCTCCTAGATTGTGAGAGACAGAAACATTTCTGTTTGTTAAAACCAGGAATAACCATCCTACCATGGGGTGGGGGCTTCCCCAGATATCATGCCAGTTTGAGCCTGGGACCTCCTCCCCACAAAGACAAATTTAGTTTGCGCACACACCCCTCCTGGATTTGGGAACTTCTGGACCCCTCCACTGGGCCACCTCTAACTGGTGGATCTTTCTTCCCTAGTACTATGGGGGTGCTCCTCCTGGTCCTCATCTCTGTCTTGGAAAGCGGAGTATCCAGGGTCAGAGGTAGATCTCCTAGAGCTTGGGGACACCAGCCCAGGCCTCAATCTGTTTCACTGGGGAAGGTTCTGGAAACCCTTGCAAGGGCTGGCCAACCTTCTCTGTCTCTGATATGTATTTAAGTGGAAGCGTGAGGGGGCACCTGGCCAAGAGCACTGTGACCATGGGGGGAAGGGCTTGGCAGTGGGCTTTGGGCGAAGGAGGGTCTGTGGCCTGCCCCCACTCAGTAAGGGAGTCTGGTGCTCTGACATGGTCCCAGAGCTGCAGTGGGGACGTGCTGCTGAGAGCGTGGGGCTCTGGGGAAACCGGGACCCACCCTGCTTCCCAACCTGATGAGCCCAGAACAACCAGACACAACCCAGGCAGACCAGCTAGCTACAGCCTGGGTGACCTGACATCACCTGGAATGACCAGCGCAGTCCAGGTGAGCGGACACAGCTAGGGGTGAACAGGGTCCTCTGTGGGGTAGGCAGAGTGGGAGATCTCCTAATTCTAGGTGGTCCATCAGCTCTCCATCCCACCTGAGCTGAGCACAAGGCAGAACCAACGTATGGTCTGAGGCTTCTCCCAACTGTGCCCACTCCTCAGCCCCCATCTCAGCATCTGATTCCTGCCTCTCTGTGGGGCTGCTCTGTGAGGGCAGCAGGAGGCTAGTGTCCTATCCTCCACCTCCACTGTTCATCAGAAAGTGGCTTCATGGTGGGAGGCCCCCTACCCACCTCCCCACTGCTTCACCATGGTGTCTGTGTGGCACCTTTAGCCAGTGACCATGCAGACCAGATGAAATGGTTAGGGGCTGTGTTAGGGAGTGTTAGGCTCCTAACCCCTGGACTTGTGGATGTAATTCCATCTGGAAATAGCATGTTGTCTGTTCACAAGGTCATGTCAGTGTTGGGTAGGCTCCAAGTCCAGTCACTGCCAGGTTATAAGGAGCAGTGTAGACAAGCAAAGACAGATGCCATGTGAAGACCACCAAGAGACTAAAGGCCAGTGTCTGGGCTGACTGTGTACCACAAAGGTTCAATTCCTACGATTTAGAAGTAGGTACTTCCAGACCTTTCTTCCAGGGTGCCTCTGATGGACTTGAACCTCCAGCATTTGAGTAATTAATCCTTTGCACCACCCAAGGAGCTCAGTTAGATGCAATGTAGTGTCGGCTGTGATAGGGCCCCGGCAAAGGACCAAATCCTCAATTCAGGACACTCACCACCTTTAGGCTTCCTGGGCCAGCCCCTGCCCCCAGTCTTCCCAGAGGGGGCTCACCAGCGGGGTGACACACACATACACATGTTGTTGTCAAGTGCCATGGAATCAGTTTAGACTAGAGCAACCCTGTATAGGGTTTTTGACGAGCTGCTGGTGAGGTTTGAACCACAGATCTTGGGGTTCAAAAAGGACCTTGAGGTCAGGTGCTTATCCTACGGCACCATAGCAGGACTCCATTCCCCGTGCCCAGGTCACTGCTACCACAACCATGGAGGTTCTGAGCGGGCTGCCAGGATGTGTGGGAGAAACACACACACTGAGTCACACCTCCTCAGATGGGAAACACACACCACCCCCTGTCATGTTCCTGACAGGAAACACACACCATCACACCCGACAGTCATGTCTCCTCAGATGGGAAACACTCCCACACCAGGTCACACCTTCCCAGACAGGAAGCACACAAACCATGGTCATGTCTCCTCAGGCAGGAGGAAACATGCACTCACTGACAATCACGTCTGCTCTGACAGGGAAAACACTCTCACATCAAGTCACACCTCCTTCGATGGGGAAACACACACCAACAGTCACACCTCAGACATGATAAATCAAAAATGCAAAACCAACATTTTGGCAAAAGTTTTTTGTTTTCCAAATTTTAAATAAAAAAAAAGAACCCACAAAAACAAAACCACCATTCGCACACGAGATTCAGCTTAACTGCTTTGAGGAAAAACACTGAAAAAAATGGAAGGTAAAAAAAAAAAAAAAAAAAATCAAGCCCCGATAAAGATAAAAATAGATACATTCTTCATAAAAGTCTTGACTAAGCGCCCTAACCGTTCACATCTTGTCAGTGTTCAGAGCGGAGGTGCAATGGCGGAGGAGAAAGCCCACCCCCAAGTTGCTGGGCTCAGAGCTCCTCCTTGGCCTGGCCCGGCCACCTGGCATGCTCGTCGATGAACTGGCTCAGGTGCTCCAGGTCCCTGTTGGCACCTTCGAACTTGATGGGGTTCTGCTTGTCCCCTCTGGGTGCAAAGTAGATGGTGGGAAAGCCGTCGACTTTGTAGCGGTCACTGGTGGCCTCGTTGGCTGTGGCATCCATCTTGGCGATGACCAGGCCCTTGTGACTGCGGTACTTCTTGCCCAGCGCAGCGTACACGGGTTCCAGCTGTTTGCAGTGCCCACACCACGGGGCGTAGAACTCAATGAGTACGTCCTGGCTGGGGTCCAGCACAATGTCCTTGAAGGTCTTCCCCACCACAACCTTGACTGGCCCCTTGTTGTTCTTGGGCACTGGTTGTGACTTAATGACTGGCTTCAGTTTTCCTGTCAGGAAAGGCAGAGGGTCGGTCAATATCACACAGGGGGGAAGGGCCATCTTCCTTATTGTGAAAAACGGAAAAGAAAGGGACAGAAAAGGGTTGCTGAAGCTGAGAGCCTGGACGAGGCTCCATCAGGTCTCAAGTCACGCCAGTGCCACAGACTCATGGGAACCCTACACAGCTGCCTTCCGACGCCCCACAGCTCCCAGGTGGACGTGGAGGCCGGTGTGGTGACCCGAGGACGTTCTGAGCTAGATGAGGTTCCCACACATCACAGAAGACTATTGAGCCGTCTCAGAGCCACTAGTCTGGGGCCATCCCAGGAGGGTGATGTGGGGAGGCAGGTCCCCGCAGTGCAGTAAGGACATGACTGGGACCCACGGGGGCCTGTGCGCTCACCCTTCTTGAAGGCCATCACAAATTCACGCAGGGCATCGACATCAAAGTCCGTGGGCTCCATGGCAAACTTCCGCCCGCCCTCGTCCAGCACAGCCGCGTTGACATCCTCCCCGCTCTCGCCCAGCCCCAGATCCTTCACCTCTGAGGCATAGTCCTCCTCGTCAGCGATGGCGAATGTGTACTCAGGGAAATCCTTGGCTACCTCCAGGACTTTGTTCCTCCAGAACTGTGTGGCTGGGGGGACAGAGTGTTCGTGAGTGGCAGTCGTCCAGTTGCCAGGACCCGTCTCTAACATCCCTTCTACCCACGTCCCTGCCCCACTCACAAGCTCTGTAGTCAAAACTGAAGTCCACGCTGAAGTAAACCACCACCAGGGGGCGCCGGGTGTAGCGCTTGGCCTCGGTGGCAGCCCTGCGGTGGCCGACCAGCGGCAGGGTGTGCTGTACCACGTGATCCCTGATGGCAGAGGCCTCTGTGGAGCCCTGGGATGAGGAGAGGGGGGGTGAGGCGGGAACATAGGGGGGCCTGTCAAGCACAGCCAGTAGGGAGAGTCAGCAGGCTTTGGAGGTAGAGGCAGACCCCAGGGCCCCTCCTGCTGCCACCCTGTGTGGGACCCCAACTCAGTCCCACACCCTGAAATGACCAGAGGTAATCACACGTCAGGTGGTCTCCGACCTGAGACGTCTCCACAGCGCAGTGTGAACCCCTAGCCCTGTGACCCTGTCTGGAAACAGGGTCTCCCTTTTATGCTAATAAGGTCACACATGAGGGCGGATCCCAAACCTAACTCCTGCACTTATAAAAAGAAGGGAACACACACAAACACACATACATACAGAGAGATCGAGACAAGACACACACAGGAACAGTCGCCAGGACCTTGCCCTAAAGCTAATGACCTGACCTGACCCTTCTAGGTCCAGAACTGCAGGATGATAAATGTCCATCCCTAAAGTCCTAGGGTGGCTGCAAGGTCAGCACTGGACGGTAAGGTCGGAGGTTCAAACCCGCCAGCTGCTCTCAGGAAACACTATACAGGGTGTCACCATGAGTCAGAACCGATGGCACTTACAACGTAACACAAAGGGGTATTTCAGCTGTGGCAGTCCTTGGTCACCCTAACCGGGGTGGAGGTGGGTAGGAATCCCCTTGGAGATGGCGGGGGGTAGGGAGTGAGGTGCACAGACACATCAAACAACACCCTCCAGATTCTGACAATGTCTGGGGGACGGGCACGATGCAGAAGTAGTAGACCCTGGAACTTGCCCTGGACAGCACTGACCTCAATGGCTATCGCATGGCTCTTGGGTTCAAAGCGGGACTGGAACCTCTCGGGCTGCATCACCAGCAGTGTCCCCGAGGCAACCTTCAAGAACTTGGCGACCTCAGTGCTGAAGGTGTGGTGGAATCGGTAATCCTCCCGAAGGCTGTTGGCTGAAGGAGGGATTGAATGATGGCCTGTCACCTGGACCCCACCAGACACTCAGAGCCATGTGGACCTGCGTGCAGGTGGGGAGACCTGACGTCCACGTGGGTACTGGAGGACGAAACAAAGCACCCATCCCAGGGCCCCAAACACTGCCCGGCTCATTGAGGAGCTCACCCCAGCCCCCGACCACAGACCGCCTCCTGGGCCCCAGACTCACCAGCTTCCTGGTACTGCTGGTAGGCTGGGTCATTCTCCCCCTGGAAGACTCCTATGATGATGACATCATCTCCATCCTTCAGGAACTCCTGCACCTGCTTCAGCCCCACAACTGCCTTAGAGGGAGGGCCTGCCTGCTCCACCATGTAGTCCACTATGCCTGGGGGAGGGACGGTGAGTGTGGGCATGAGCCGACAGCCTGCCCACCATGTAGTCCACTATGCCTGGGGGAGGGACGGCGAGTGTGGGCATGAGCCAACAGCCTGCCCACAGCCACCCACCGCTGTCCTGAGGTCCCTACCATATTTTTCCCTTGGGCCATTGTAGTCAAAGGGCTTCCCTCGGCGGAAGATCTTCAGCGTGGGGTAGCCGGAGACACCGAACCGTTGGGCCAGGTCCGTCTCTGCTGTGGCATCGACTTTGGCCAGGGGAATCGGGGGTGAGCGCCGGCTGAGCTCCTTGGCCGCCTTCTCATACTCAGGGGCCAGTTTCTTGCAGTGACCACACCTGAGTGGAGGGAGAGCCAGTCTGTGGGGTCTGCTGGGGAATGGGACTCGACCACAGGTAACAAACCCCATCCTCGATGCCCCCAGAACTATGGCTTTGTCCTGCTAGCCACACATTCCAGGAGGAGGCACACAGCCAAAAAAAATCACAGGGACACAAGTCACCACCAGGATGAGGAAAAAGATCTTCTGAGAGGAGGCCCCGACTCAGGATGCTGGCCTTGGGCAGGACTCGAGCAGAGGCAGAAAGGGACCACCAGTTCACACAGGGTGAGGGGGGAAGCTGGGGGGAGGAGCCCAGACAGGGCCAACCATGAGCAAAACTATGCCTTAGGCGGGGCGAGGGGCTGGACCACAGGGGCCCCGCTGCCCTGTCCTGTCCCAGGGAGACCAGCATTGGCGGGCGGGGGGTGGTGGGGTGTGTGCGCGCGTGTGGTTACACAGTGAGCACATCACCCTCCTTACTCTCCCTCAAGGGGCACAGCTTCTCTGGGGGGCGGGGGGGTCCCCCTCCCAGCCCACACTCACACTATGCTCCAAGTGGCTGCAGCAATGAGACAGCTTTGTTTCCTGTGGGTGCCCCCGCTCCCCCCAGCACCCTCCCTTACCATGGGGCGTAGAACTCTACCAGGATGATGTCCGCCTCGCCCACAACTGAGTCAAAGTTCTCTGCAGTCAGCACCAGTGTGGCCTCAGGTGGGGGCGTCCATGTGGGCTGGGCCACCTCTCTAACCTTGGCAACAATTTCTGGAAGAAATGGGTGCGCATGATCACAGCCCGAGGCCAGCTGGGAGTGGGGGTGGGGGCAGGGAGACTCCACGAGGGGCCAGAGGCCTACCTGCAGCCCCTCCCCACAGGCTACAGGCCCTTCCTGAAGGTGGGCCGGCCTGGCGCCTGCTGGCCCCTAAGCACACACGTGAGTATACAGATGAGGACACATCACAGGGGAGCCGGAGCAGCTAGACTCAGGGAAGAGGACAGACAGGGCCCCCTCTCAGGAGCGTCTGAGAACATCAGAAGCAGTGTCTGCCATCACACCACCACCCCTGCCTTCTCCTTGTCCCACGTCCCACCTGAAGGGAATGCGGGCCTCAGCCCCCCAAACATCCTGCTGGTGCCTGAGGAAGCCTCCCGGGTCTCACAGCTTTTCTTCTTGTGTGTGGTAGGCTCTGTGCCCATGTGACTGGGATATGGGCGCCCAGTTGTTTGGTCAAGCACAGGTCTGGGTGTTCTGGGAAGGTGCTGACTTTGAGGAAAGCCAATCACCCCTGCTAACGTGGATGGGCCTTGTTCAATCAGGGGAAAGGTGTAAGAACAGTAACAGATCTCCCAGGCAGCAGCACTCAGCCTTCACTAACACAGAAATCCCGCTGGAGTTTCCAGCCTGCTGCCAGCCCTATGGAGCTGGGACTTGCCTAGCCACAATCCTGTGCACCAACCTCTCCCTCTACATTACTGGTTCTGTTTCTCCGGGAGCCCTGACAGCCCCATCACCCCGCTGGTGCCTGCTCACCTGCCTGGGTCCTGGTGCCCTCATAGTCGACGGCCTGCCCCTTCTTGAGGATCTTGATGGTGGGGTAGCCGCTCACGTCAAACCTGCCAGCTAGCGTTACGGCAGCCGTGGCGTCAATCTTAGCCACAGGGATGGGGGGATCATCGCCTCTCAGCGTCTCGGCAATTTTTTCATATTCCGGAGCAAACTGTTTACAGTGTCCACACCTAGAGTTAGGGTTAGCAGAGAAAAGGCAGATCAGAGTAAAAACCCAGCTGTAGTCCGGTGCTTATCCTACAGTGCTCACAAACATAGGGGCTTCAGGGCCAGAAACACGTGAGCTGGGAAGAGAGAACAGAGCGAGGCTCGACGCTAGGTCAGCTGTGGCAAACACTGCCAACAGTACCAAACACTACATTAAAGATGTCCTAGGACGACTCTGGGGTTGGTGACGTCAGGACTATGCACAGGACACTTCGGAGACCATGTGCCCACGAGGGGGCAGCACCAAAGGCGGCCACAGAGACTGAATGGAAAGACACACTAAAAATCTCCAAGTTGCAAACACTGAGGAGGCAAAGTTAGCAACAGAGCTCCCTGGGGCCTAGATATGCAAAGTGTCACAGGTCCTGAGACCTGCTGACCCAGCTAGAAGGGACAGTGGGACCGCTTCAGTGAGCTGGCATGAGGGTGCCGAGCCCGAGGCCTGACAGATACTGTTCCGGGGCAGCTGGCACCACACACCCTAACGAATGGTCCCACGGTGGCACGGGGCAGCGGAAGGAAAAGATGATTGAACCACAGCTAGTGGGGGTGGGGGATGCAGGTGGGGAAGGGGCTGCAGGACAGGTCCAAGATGGACAGAAAGTGGGTGCGCAGTGTTTCCCTGAGACTATGTACACACTTGGGGTGCCCCATCACTGCTGTCTGTTGGTGTGACCCTCACAGCTGTCAGTGCCTACTGAGCCTGGGCCTAGGTCCTCAGACATGGGGACAGGGCATCTTGTCCACGAGGACGGTACATCGGGGGGTACGAGGCTGCTAGTCCTGTACCCTCCTGCCAACCCACTTTGAAGCCTTAGCTAGACCCTGCCCACCCAGAGCTGGATGTGTGACCCTCACCAGGGCGCGTAGAACTCCAGCAGCACCGTGTCCTTGTCGGCCACAAAGCTGTCGAAGTTTGAGTCGCTCAGGAGCACGACACCATTCTCCTCCTTTACTTCCGAGGTGTCTTCCTCATCCTCCTCATCCTCTGTGTCCTCTCCCTCGATGGCATCCTCTAAGCCAAACGACTCTGAGAGCAAACAGCATGTCAGACAACCAACAATCCTCCTGGAGGCGAGTCTGGAAATCTATGCGTCCTGGGACCCTTGGCCCAGCAACCCTTCTCACTGGGTACCAATGAGTCAGGCTAGACACTGAGGCCTGAGCACCTTGGGTCAAGGGTTCAGAGTCTACACCAGCCGCCCTTCTCGTAGTGTCCCACGTCACCTTGTCCTGCAGCCTCCCCACACCTATCTCCTGAATCGCTAGAATTCCCTGGCTGATGAAAGGCTCACCTGCCCCTTCAATGGAAACAGCTCGCTCCAACTTTGCATGTTGGAGGAGGGGTATGTACCCCAGTTCTGAGTGGGGACAAATTTCATGTGAAAAGCAATCTGTGGGTTTGATGTTTCTTCAGGGGGGCAGGTAGGACCCACTCCACGAGGACTTGAGGGTCTCTTCTCTGTAACACTTCCCCCCATAACACAAATGACTGCTACACATCAGCACCAAGGCACACTTGGAATTTTCCCAACAAGAAGACACATGGCATCATGAGATTGCAGCTCTAATTCAGCATCTTCTCACTAGCGGCCACAAAGCTTGACCATCTGACAGGCCCTGAATCACAAAGCTCCAAGGCCAAGGGTTACTCGTCCTGGAGAGGAGCCGATCCTGCTCAGCATCTGTGGCTGAGAGTGAGGCAAGGGCTTGGAGACCCCCCCGCCTTCAACAGTAGTGGAGAAGGGATGGAACAGGTGGGGCAGACGGAGGAGGTGGTGATGAAGGAGATGGAGGAGGGAAAAGTGATGGAGAAGGTGATGGAGAAGGTGGAGAAACTTGAGCAACACTTGTGGTTGTGTGCTGTAGAGTTGTTTCTGACCCATAGTGACCCTGCATAGGGTCTCCAAGGCTATAAATCTTTACAGAAGCAGAAAGCCTCATCTTTCTCCTGGGGAACCACTGGTAGTTTCGAACTGCTGACCTTGCAGTTAGCAGCCCAACTCATAACCACTACGCTATCAGAACTCCTTAGTAACTTGCGGGGCCTTTAGGTGCTCAGACACTATAAAATGTGAGATAGAAAAAAACAAGGAAAAGTTTATAACATCTGGGCAGGGAAGCCCCAAAATAAGTCTGTCTTGTTGATTTACAGAAATCAAAAGGCCAGATGCTTTCAGAGACGAGGAGTTAATGTACAGGTAGAAGCCTCACCCTGGCCTGTCTTTCCTGTGTCAGAGATCCCTGACCCACAGCAGGACCTGCAAGGCAAGGGCACACCTGCAGGTCCTACCAGCCCTGAGATGCACCTGGAATCACTGCTCCCCTCCACCTCAAGAGTCCTCCAAAAGCAGTGCTCTGGACTGCAATCTCCACAATACATGCAGGAAACCTAACTCCTACACCTGAATTAAGGCACTGGGTGGTGCAGTGGATTAAGTATTGGGCTGTTATATGAAAGATTGATGGTTCATATTCACCAGCTTCTCTTTGGGAAAAAGATGAAGCCGTCTGCTTCCATAGAGACTCACAGTCTAGGAAAACCCAACAGTGGGTCACTAGGAGTCGGAACCAACTTGATGGTAGTGGGTGAGAGGTGCAATGAACTAAGTATTGAACTGCTAACTGAAAGTCAGTGCTTCCAATCCACACACAGCTCTGGGGGAGAAAGATAAGTAAAGATCTATAGCCTTGGAAACCCTATGGGGCAGTTCTACCCTGCTCTATAAGGTTGTTATGAGCCGGAATCGACTCGGCGACATGAAAAGGTTAAAGCTCCTTAAGGAGCCCTGGTGACACAGAGGTTAAGCGCTCAGATGCAGAAAGGTTGGCAGTTCAAACCCACCAGCCACTGTTAGAGAAGGCTGAAGCTTTGGCTTCAGTAAAGATTTACAATCTTAGCATTCCTATGGGACAGTTCTAGTCTGTAATGTAGAGTTACTAGGAATTGGAATCAACTCCTAGGCAGTGGGATGATGGGACACTCAGAGGGAAACAGGGTGTCTTTGTTATGTTAATGAGGCCAACAGAACAGGGTGTGTCCTAGCAGGAAACAGTAGTACAAACTCAGATGAGAGACAAGAAAAAGCAAACTCCATGTGAAGATCATGGAAGACTGTGCCCAGAACTGACAACGAGCCTCCACCCGGCACCAGTGCCCTGATGGAGGACTTCTAGTCTCCTGAACTGCCCAAAATAATACCTTCCATTGAAGTTACCCATTTGTGGTATTTGTGTTATAAGGACACTAAGAAACTGACTCAAGAGCAGGTTCACTGAACCAAAATTAAATATTCATTCTGAGTACTAGTATTAGCTATGTTCCAAAAGGCGACCCCTGGCCTCAAACTTAATGAGCCTCTCCTGGTGTAGTAAAGAGCAGTTGGTAGGATAAGCACTAGACCACTGGGTAGGTTTGAACCACAAGGTCGACAATTCAATCTCACCAGCGTCTCCTCGGAAATCCTATATAGGGTTACTATGAGTTGAACTGACTAGATAGCACTTAACAATAACAAATCAAGAACAAATGACTTAAAATGCAGCTCACTGGCCCCCACCACCTTCTGATTCAGTAGTGTAGTCTAGGAGTCCTGTGCTCAGGTGTCCAAGGTCCTGAAACACTTGTGGTTAACACAGCCCAGAGAGGTGTTTTCCACCACTTGCTGGTTTCACTTAGGGCAGACATCTCAGCTGGTGCAAGTTACTCAATCTGTTTCAAGAGTATAAAGTTCACATTTACTTGCAGAGAAATCCTGGAAAATGGGAAATATTTATTTTGGCACAAACTCACTAGAAAAAAAGCTTGCGATGAGGACAAAGAAGTGAGAGGAAAGTGGCTAAGGCAGCAATGGGGTACGTTCCCTGGTACTGATGCTCAAGGCACAGGGGACGGCAGGGGTGGAGACCAGCGGCCACATCGTGGGCGTTTTGTCCTGTAGGCAGCGGAGCTAAAAGGACTGCACCTCCGGACCCAAAGGTTGCAAACAGTGCCTTTATCCTTCAACCCAGAACCCTCACCCCAACTCTGGGGACCACAGCTCAGAATGTCCACATCGGCAACGGGTCCACACGCCCTCCCAGGGTCCCACGAGATAGTCCCCGTTCCGTACCCCCTACTTGGAGACTCCCCAGCGCCCCAGTGCAGAATGCGCTTATCTGCATCCTCCCATCTCAACTTAACACTCACCTGCGCCCTTCCCGCGTCCTCCCCGCCCCAGACAAGCCGCACTCACCTGCATCTTCCTGGCTCTACCGACCCCCCCGCTCCACACACATACACACACATACACACACACACACACACACACACACCTGAGCCCTCCCCGGCTCACCTGCGCTCGGTTCCTGCGCGCAGACCACATTCAGCAGCTGCGTCAGCGCCAGGAGCAAGAGGAGTAGGCGCGCGGTCCCGGGTCGCATGGCGGCGGCTCCCGTCTCCCCGGCTCTGGGATCCCCGCCCCACTGCTCCGACGTGCCGCCAGCGGACGCTGCCTGCTCCTCGCGGCCGGTGCTTCCTCTTCTGAGGCCAGATCGTGAGGTGCCCTCTTCCGATTGGTTGCATTGCGACGGCCAATCACGGGCTGCCACTGGGATCGCAGGGAGCGCACGCGCGGATGGGACCGGGACAAAGCAGGACAAGAGGCGCAGGCCGGGAGAGGCGGGCCGGGCCGGGAGATGCCTCGGGGCGCCATTGGCCAGTAGTGGGGGACGGAGCAAGGCAGAGAGACGACTCAGGGCGCCATTGGCCAGTAGGTAGTGGGCGATGGCAAGAAACGCCCCCGGCGCCATTAGCGGGAGGCGTGGTGTGTGGGTCGGACCAGGCATATGCCTGAGGGGCGGGTCCGGTGTGGCGACGCCTCACGTTGCCATTGGCTGTAAGAGTGGCAGCGAGGCGGAGCGAGAAGGGAAGTGCGGGTGACGTCTAGTTATGGTATTGGCCGGAAGCGTCGGAGGCAGGGTGTAGTGGGATATGTTGGGAGGCGACGCTTGGGTGCCATTGGCAGGAGACCTCTCGTGATGCTATTGGTCGGCAGCGTGTAGTTGGGGCGGAGCCTACAGAGATCTTGGAGCGCCATTGGTTGGCAGATGGCAGTGCTGAAACCACGTGAGTGTGCGCGCACTTGCTCCTTTCGCACACTTGCGCGAGTGCCCGTGCTAATAGTGCGGCGCGGAATGTTGACCTGGCCAAATTTGTTTGGACGTTTGCTGAGCTTTCTGTATGTCACGCCGAGAAAACAACAAATGCTTGAATGATGTGGAGAGACTGGGATTCTCCTACATTGCTGGTGGGACTATAAATGGTACAGCCACTATGGAAAACAGAATATCACTTGGTCACGTGCTAAAAGTTGACTATTGCAATACTTTGTGATCCAGCAATAATCCCTCTACTTGGTATATCTTTCCAAGAAGAGCCGTGACACAAGCCACATGTATACCCATGTTCATTGTAGCACTATTCACAATAGCAAAAAAAGAAGGAGTAGACAGCCTAAATGCTTATCAATGAAAGAATGGATAAACAAACTTTGGTACATCCACAATGGAATGCTATGTAATGTTTAAGAGTAATGATGAATCTGTGAAACACCTCATAACATGGATGAACTTTGCGGACGCTATACTGAGTGAAAGTCACAAAAGGACAAATATTGTATGAGACCATTATTTTTAAAACTCAAGAAAAGGTTTTCATGCTAAAAGAAATATTTTTTGATGGTTACCAGGGGGTGGGAAGAAAAGGAGAGCTATTCACTGGCTACAGGGTAGATACATGTTAACTCCGGTGGCAGGGAAGGCAATCTACAACAAGAGTGCAGCTGTCAGAAGGATGATGAAGACACTGGGAGGAATGCAAGAGTTAAAGGGGATAGCGGCAAATACTGTTGGATACAACAGGTAGATAATGGACAGACATACTCCCATGTATACCCACAAATATATAGGGATTTGACTGAGGCTTTTTGTACATGGGACTCCAGGTGTGCGGCTGTAGGATCAGCACTAGACTTTGAACAAAAAGATTGGCAGTTCAAAGCCACCAGCTGCTCCTCAGAAACCTTATAAGGGTTGCTATGAGTTGGAATCAACTTGATGGCACTTAACAACATTTATCTTTGCTGCAAACACACCTGTGAATGTGGTGGAGCATATAGAGAGTTGTTGCTGTTGTTGTTAAGTGCCATTGAGTCAGTTCTGACTCATAGCGACCCTATATAGGGTCTCCAAGGAACAACTGGTGGATTTGAACTGACAACCTTGAAGTTTACAGTCCTGTGCTTATCCTAAAGCACCACGTACAGGAGGTAATATGAAAATGTCTTAGACATTACAAAGCACCTTGAGGCTAGGTGCTTAAGCGCATACTCTTGGGGACACTATGGTCAGTTGACATAACAAAGCCCCCAGACAGTGTTCTGCATCATACTTTGGTTAGTAGTAACTAGAATCTTAAATTTAAAGTTCATGATCGACCATCTTAGGTGCAACTATTGGTCTCTCCATGTATGGACGAAAGAGGAGTGGTGAAAACTAAAGACGCTTGGAATCAATTAGTCCAATAGACTAATGGGACATGTGAACATCAGTCTCCATGTCTCTGAGACCAGAAGAACTAGATGGTGCCCAGCTACCAATACCAACTGCTCTGAAGGGGATCATATTAGAAAATCCCGGATAGAGTGGGAGAAATTGGGAAGCTAAACTCAAAATTATTAAAAACAAAAAACAAAAAAAAATACCCCACTGGAATTCCTGTTCAGAAAGAGACTTTAGGAACCCAAGACTCTGGTTTTTGGCCACCCTGCAGGTCTGGAATGGTCCTGTCAAGCTCCTATGTCAGGTTCTAGCCTCAATGAGAAAGTGTGGGTGTCACAAAGAAGGAAGATCTGGCAGCGAAAGGGATAGAGACAGAGAGAGATGAAATATATACAAAAAAGACAGACACACAGATATGATGCAAGCTGGCAGGTAGACAAGATCTGCAAACATACTGCCTAGCATTGCCCAGCATTGCATGCAGAATTCACTCTACCTCAGCCTTTTATTCTCTTTTTTAGGGCGGAATTTATTACAAAGGAAGGATGTAATTCACAAAGGGAGGATGTCACAAAGGGAGGATGTGATTAAGACAGGATACGGAACTGAAATGTGATTAATCATTCAAAACAGGACATAATGATTCACAGGAACAACTTTTAAGATATTTTCATAGTTTTTTCTTAACAATCTAACATTTTTATTTTTACAGAAGAAAGGTTCAATCAAGCTGTTATATATTAATTTTTAAGCTTAAATGATCTAGAGTAGCGACGTGCGGTTTCTTAAGGATATAACATAAAGCAAGGCTCCTGAAAGGAGCCAAGCTGTCTCTGTACACTTTGCAAACTTTTGTTTGTGAGCAAGAACTCAGGCACTGAGCTTCATTTATCTATACCTAAAATGCTACATTGGTTTTAATTATCACATTCCTATATACTTTCAGGAGGAAGAAGAGCATCTGGGTTAAAACTGATTATATTCAGAGGTGGTTCAATGGGGTTGCCACTGATCAACCCAGGGTCTGCATATGATGTCCCCAGCAACCCTCATCATCCAATTTTTAGCTAAGTGGTAGATAAGTATACAGAGGGGACAACAAGACTAGTCAGGTATCCTCATTAGGGATCTCGTCCAATCTATTGGCCTGGTAGCTGTCTTCCAAATTCCTTGGCAAAGATGGGTGAGTGACTCCAGTACTTCATCCGTTCATTGAAAGATTTCAATTTGTATTTCATCATTTCCCGGAGCCTTACTTTTTTGCCACTGCCTTCAGTGCAAACTTGAACTTCTTCAGTACCATTGGTTATCGATCCTATTCTACTCCTTGAAATGGTTGAATATTGACCACTTATTTTTGGTACAATGACTCTGTATATTCCTTCCATCTTATTTTGATGCTTTCAGCATCTTTCAATATTTTGCCCACAGAGTCCTTCAATACTGCAAGTCAAGGCTTGAATTTTTCTTCAGTTCTTACAGCTTGAGAAATGCTGAACGTATTCTTCCCTTTTGGTTTTCTAACTCCAGGTATTTGCACATTTCATTATAATATTTGACTTCTTCTTCTTGAGCTGCCCTTTGAAATTTTCTGTTCAGCCCTTTTAGTTCCCCATTTCTTCCATTTGCTTTCACATTTCTATGTTGGAGAGCAAGTTTCAGAGTCTCTTCTTACATCCATTTTGGTCTATCTTTCTTATTTTTTAAATTACCTTTTGCTTTCTTCCTGTATGATGTTCTTTTTTTTTTCTGTATGATGTTCTTGATACCATCCCACAACTCTTCTGGTCTTTAGTCATTAGTGTATTAGTGTTGAATGCAGCAAATTTATTCTTGAGATGATCTCTAAATCCAAGTGAGATATGTTCAAGATCAAATTCTGGTTCTTCCTTGTAGACGTATGGTTATTCTCCTATCACAGACAGCATTGTACTTCAAGATAGAACGTGAAATGTTATTTTTGATGATAATGCAATGCCATTCCTCTTCAATTTGTTATTTGTGGCACAGTAAACCATGTGATTGTCAGATTCAAGATGGCCAATACCAGTTCATTTGCATTCACTAAGTCCTAGGATATTTATCTTTATGCATTTCATTTTGACAACTTCTGATTTTCCTAGACTCATACTTCATACATTCCATGTTCTGATTATTAATGGATGTTTACTGCTGTTTATCCTGAAAGCTTTACTCCATTTGCTTCATCAAGGCCAACTTTACTTTGATGAGGCAGCTCTTTCTTAATTGCATTTTGGGTGCCTTCCAACCTGAGGGGCTCTTCTGGGACTATCTCTGACAATGTTCTGCTGTTATTTATAAGGTTTTCAGGGGCTAACCATTCAGAAGTGGTCCGCCTCTCCTTCCTAGTCTGTCTTAGTCTGGAAACCCAGCTGACCCTGTCCACCATGGGAGACCCTACTGATATTTAAAATACCGGTTGCAGTTTCCAGCATCACAACACACAAGCCACCAAAGTACAACAAACTGACAGACAAATGGTGCCTCAGCTAGCATGTTGTTGTTAAACTGTTAAATGCTGTTGAGTCAATTCCGACCCATAGCGACCCTGTATAGCGTTTCCAAGGAGCAGCTGGTGAGCTTGAACCTCCGACCCTGCAGCTCAAACGACTTTGCAGTCTGATGCATTAGCCCACAGCGCCACACCAGGACTCCCAGCTAGCATTGTTGTTGTTGTTATATGCCATGGAGTTGGTTCCAACTCATAGCGACCCTTTATAGGGTTTCCGAGGCTGTGAATCTTTATGGGACCAGAAAGCCTCATCTTTATTGGATGGAAGTTTCGAACTGGTAGTTTCGAACTGCTGACCTTAAGGTTTACAGCCCGATTTATAACCACTACGGTACCAGAGCTCAATCCCCAGCTAGCATAGCCCCTCCTAAATGGGACACTACCTCCTATGAATAAACATGATGCCTTTGCCCACCTAAAACATTTTAAACTCCAACAAAGTCTCTGTCTGGGGAGAGATCGGTAGCATTGCCTGGAGCCCTCCTTATCTACTCTGGCCAGATGGCTCCTCTCAAGAAATCTTACTCCTGTGAAGCTCTGTCTGTCTAACCCCATCTTTCATGGTCAGGAACAACAAGGACCCTATGTGGCAGGGTCAGGGGATCCCTACACCCAGATGACAACATTTTAGGAAAAGTGTTTACATTTACATCCACGAGGAAATTTGTCTTTAACTCTTTTCTTTCTTTCTAGTTGTATGTATCTGATTTTGGTGTCTACTTTTTTCAGTTTTCTGGAAGGGTTTTTGTATAATTGGAATTCTTTCTTAAATGCTCAGTAGAATTCTCTAGGAATTTTTTTTACGTGTGTGTGGGAAAGATCCTTAGTATAAATTTCTTTGATTTCGGGCTGTACAAGTGAGCTTCTTCTTCTTGAATGAGCCTTGGTACTTAGTGGAAATTTGCCCATTTCATATAACTTGTCCAAATTACTGACATAAAGCTGTTCACAGTGGTGTATTTTAAATGAACGTTGAGTTTGTAATGATCTCACCGTCTCATTGCTGATGTTGAGCACGGTGTTTTCTTTTTTCTGATTACTCTGGCTCAAGGTTATACATTTTCTTGATCTTCTCCAAGAACCCAGTTTTGGTTTTGTCATAGATTGAGTTTTCTTGCTCCTAAAATCTATGTCACCTTGACTGGGCCATGCTTCTCAGTGATTGGGCATTTCTGTAGTGATCTAATGTGACAACACATATATACTGAGATCATCACACATCCCTCTCCCAATAATGAGGTCTGATGCAATCAACCCTGATCTGATGTAATTATAGTGTTGGGAATCCTCATTTTTATAATGTTAATGAAGCCAGATGCAATCTACAATATTAGGTTGTATCTGGAGCCAATCTCTTTTGAGATATAAAAGAAAGTACACAAACAAGCAGAACTCAGAGAGACCACCTACCACCAAGAAACAAGAGTCAAGAGTGGTCTGATATGATGGGGTGAGAGTGACTTGGATGTGACAAGGACATGAATTTGGGGGGCCAAAGGCCTTGATTCTCTATGTTGGCGGTTCAGTAATGAATGTGATGTGGCAGTTACATACTGAAGTAACCTCTGCTTCCGCCTCACAATAATGCGATCGGATGTGTTCATCCCTGATTTGATATAAATCCTCACTTCTATGATATTAATGAGGTTGGATGCAATCTACAGGGTTAGATTTGCGATCATAAGATTAAACACGCAAGCAGAGCTCAGAGGAACCTATCACCACCAAGAAAGAATTGCTGGGAATGTAGAATGTCCCTTGGAGCCGGTGTCCCTGCACTGTAATGTTCCTAGATCCAGAACGTTAAAGCCAAGATACATGGAAATCTCCAGGAAATGTTGGACCTGCAGATGCTGACAAAAGACCAGGCCTTTTCTTCAGAGCCAACAAAGTCTTCCCTTAGCCCCAGCACTCTGCATTTGGAATTTCAGCCCCCTAAAACTGTGAGAGAATACATTTGTTTGTTAGAGCACCCCCTCGTGGTATTTGTTATAGCGCACTAGATACTGAAGTCCACTTCATTGTTTTTGTTTTCCATTTCTTCTCTCATCTGTATTATTTCTTTTCCTTTCTTTGAATTTTTTGGTTTCTTATTAAAGTGGAACTTAGCTCAGTGAGTTATGGCTTCCTCTCCTCTAACATAGGCTGTTAGTGCTATAAACTTCCCTCTATATAAATTTCTAAGTCCTGGCGTGGCGCTGGAGGATAAGCGCTGGATCACAAGGTTGGTTTCAACTGTAAGGTTGTCAGTTCAAATACACCAGCGGTTCCTTGGAAATCCTGTATGAGTCACTATGAGTCAAAGTGACTCCACAGCACTAAACAGTAAAACAAGTACGCCTTTAGGACTGGAATTACGTAGGTGGAGGCCATGGGAATTCCAGGTAAGATGACTTTACACAAAGAATTAGAATAGGAACCATGGAAATAATGTGGGTTACTTAACATATCTATTTTCAACATTTTCTTGTAAACCCTCCACATTAAATTTGGTGCCTGTAGAGCTTCTGGATAACATTGTGCGGCTTCATCATTTTGTATTACTCAGCTTTTAGGCATTCGCTGAGATACTAGTTCTGGAGAATCCCATTCCCTTTCTTCATGTGAAATGACATCTCTATCCTGGAGCTTTCAAACTGGTCTCCTGCTCCAACCTCTCACCCAGGATCTTAGTCCTCAGAAACAGCACTGTCTTGTCCTCCACAGTGGTTCTGCCAACTTTTATTAGCTGCCTTCAGTAAAAATGGACAGCTTTTCCTTATGGGAAATTCCGTGCCTCACTAGGGAACCTGTTGTGAAACTTTAGCATTTACAAAGTAGGATTCAAAAAACTCATTTTACTGTTATTAAATGTTTTTAAGATAAACGATTAAAAACCAACCAGTGTTATCTCAGTCTCTGCAACAAAATTCACTGGATTTAAGCCCCATGTTTAGGGTCAGACTCCGGAGGGAAATAAAAAGAGTTGCCATTCCCATCCCTTCAGCGTTGAGAACCGTGTACTGGAGGGGTTTTCAGTGTTAATACAAATTGGGATTTCCAAGCTGGGTTAGCTTTTGGAGGACAATTACTTAAGATGGTAGAAGGGCAACTCTCTCTCTTAATCAATGGATAGGAAATATAACTGATGATATTTTAAATGCTTTCTGGTTTCTCGTATTCTTAAGTAATATCATAGTCTTGATCACAAAGGGCCCTGTTCTGAAATTCTGTCTACCAGCAGGGCAGTGGGTTCCCAGGCACAGTGGATTCGGTCCTGCTGGCTCAACTCCAGTCGGCCTCAATCTTTGTAAACAACTGGCTGAGCCTTCTCTTAACCTCCGGCTCACTTGGCACAGGGGCGGCCTTGGCGTGCATGAGGCTGTGTTGGGCCAGGTTGGACCTGTAGATGAAGCCCTTGCCGCAGGCTCCGCAGGAGAAGGGCCGCTCGGGCCGGTGGATGCGCTGGTGCCTCAGCAGGTGGCCCCCTTCCCGAAAGTTCTTCCCGCACTCCGAGCAGCTAAAGTGTCTCTCCTCGGTGTGCAGGCCTTGGTGGCTGAGTAGCTGCGCCTTCAGGCGAAACCTCTTGTCACACGTGGGGCACGGAAAGGGCTTCTCGCCAGTGCTGCCAACTTGGACTGGTGAAGCCCTTGCCGCACTGGCAGGTGAAGGGCAAGGCGCCGGCGTGTAGGCGCTGGTGCGTCCTCAGGTCAGCCCGCACCCCGCCCGTGTGCAGGCGAAAGCAGCGGCGGCATTCGGGGCACTGAAAGGGCTTCTCCCCGCTGTGCACACGGAGATGCTCCGTGAGCTTGGAGCGCCTGGCAAAGGCCTTGTCGCACTGGCCGCAGGGAAAAGGCCGCTCACGGCTGTGCGTACGCTCATGCGTCACCAGCACGCCCTTAAAGAGGAAGGTCTTGGAGCACTGCGTGCTCTGGGAAGGCCGCTCGCCGCTGTGCACGCGCCTGTGCTCGCGCAGTTGGCAGCGATGAGCAAAGCCGAGGCCGCACTGCGCGCAACACAAGAGCCGCCGCCAGGGGGCCAGCCGTGATCCACTCTCGGGATGCGGGTTTCTGCCCCTCGCACCACGGGAGGGCCGCGCCAGACCAAGCCGCCTGGGCAACCCCTGGCCACACTCCCCGCTGGACCCGCAGGAAGGGGGCGCCTCCTGGCCCAGAGATACAACCCCTTCCACAGACGGTCTCAGGGGCCCACGCCGGGCCTGTCAACTTCTCAGTGGGAAGCGCGGGCAACGCTGGGGGCCCAGCACAGGCTTCTCTGCCCAGGGCCCGGGGCGCCAGGCTGGGCAGTCCTCTGTGGGGAATCACCAGGACCGCTGCTCCAGCTCCCAGCGGAAAGCCACGCAGTCCCTAGATACCTGCACCAGGCTCTGCCCCGCAAGGCTCTCCCTGCAGATGTGACCTAGGGTTCCGTCTCTCCCAAGTGCCTCTCTGGAGTAGCGGGCAGCTGGATGTCCGTGGGGTCTCCCAGGGGTGCGTCCGGGGTCAGGTGGGAAATGGCCTTCACTGTCTCCAGCCTCCACGGCCTGCTGGCCCCCTGAAATGAAAACAAAGGCTCAGTTGTCGTTCCTGTCCAGCCTTGGCACGACCAAGGGTTTCGATCTCTGTGCCTTTCTGGCCTGTCTCATGAGAAAGGTGTGATGGCAGGATGATACAGGCCGCACTGAGACTGGTTCTGGGCCCCCACTCCAGTCTCTCAGGCCGGACTTTGATCCTCTCAAGAACCTCAGACATCCCCCTTGGGGCCTAGAAAAAAGATGCATGAAGTCTGGTTTCAGCCTCAAACACGGATTTAGGTCACAAGGCTGTAGGTCTCTGTTTACTGAGCTCTTCCTGTGAGCCAAGTGACACAATACATTTTATAGCCACTTATCATGTAGGTATTTTTATTATCTTCACTCAGGAAACAAAAATAAAGTCCTTGAATAACTTGTCCCAGGTCACCCGGCTAGTGCTCCACAGTCTACACTCGTGACTGCCAAGTCTCTGGACTCATGGCGACCCTGGGTGTGCAGAGAAGAACTGCTCCGTTGGGTTTTCAAGGCTGTGACCTTTCAGAAGCAGATCACCAGACCTTTATTCTGTGGGACCTCTGGGTAGGTTCGAAGACAACCTTTCTAGTACTTAATTCACTGTATGTGCTACTCAGGGATTTCTCTAGACTATTCTAGACGGCAAGCCTTAACCTAACCAGACAGAACACAAGATCAGAGAACTGAAATGGGACCTCTTAAGTCCCAGACCCCAGTTTCTTAACACTCACCCCAAAACAGCCGTCCCTCAAGAAATGCATCAGAATGCATATCAGCAGAGGAACAAACTATGTTTTCAGATTCTTGTGATTCTCCCCAGTCCAGGAGATCAGCTCTGGCTTGGAGGACGCACCACCTGCACAGAGAAGCTGACAAGACGCTTGGCTTTCCTGAGGATACGAGACTAGGCACTAAGTTGTTTCTAAACTTCTCAAAAGTCACTCTTGGGACATGCAGGAGAAGAGGTGTGAAAACACAGATTACAGTTTACATGAAAGAACCAACTTGCCCACAGTCCTAACCAATCCAGACCTGTGAGACCAGCTGCTCTGTTTTGATTGTGGTTCCTGTAAATCTCACAAGGCAGTATTTTGCCATAGGCTGAATACATTGTAGTAGTTTGCTTTGAAGATGGTGGGACAGACAGCCTGTCAGATGGTTGGAAGCAAGAACTAGAATGACTGTCAGCAAATTGCAAAATAGGTAGGCTCCAGCTAAACTAGCCTCTCAAGTACTTTTGGTGACAGTGTTAATCATAACACAAAACATGATTTCTTTCTGTTCAGAAAAGGAGTTGAAATGAATGGAAATAGTTACAAGACTTTCTCAAAGATGGCTCTATTCCCCTGTAGGAAATGTCTCCTCTTTGTACTTCCAAAGAAAAGATTTAAAAAAAAAAAAAAATTTCTTTTAATAAAATATACTATCCCTCACTATCTACTGTTTTGTTACCCAATATTTGGCATTTATGATGAAAAAAATCTTCTGTTCGCCTGTTTTGCATGTTGATCTGGTTTCCTGTGAGTCCAGCTCCGGGCCCACAGAGCCACCCCTGTGTCAGGTTCAGATCTGCAGCAGCCAGCTCTCCAGAGCTCCTCTGGCCAGTCCCATCCCCACAGCCAGAGCCATCGTGGCAGCTCCTAGTGTGAAAGAAGTGATAGGTGGATTCTGAGAGAGCCCTTCCAGAAGATCCATGAGTATCACGTATGTGAAACTCAAGTTGTTGTCTGTTGGTTCTAGGTCCAAAGACCCTGTTATTATGTTTTAATTGTTGTTAGGTGCCTTCGAATCCATTCCAACTCATAGCTCCGCACAACAGAACAAAACCTGGCCCCATCCCGCGCCATGCTCACAATTCTTGTTCAGCTTGGGTCCACTGCTGCGATCACCGTACAAATGGTTTTTACAAATTCTTTTCATTTCTGTTTATCCAGAAATGTCCTAATTTTGCCATTATATTTGATGGACAATTTTGCTGGGTATATGATTCTTGATTGACAATGGTTTTTTCCTTCAGAGCATCATAGATGCCATTCCATTGTCTTCTGGCCTGCATGGTTTCCTCTGAGATATCAAGGTTTAGTCTTGTTAGTTCTCTTTTGTTGGTAAATTTTCCTTTTTCCTAAGCTGTTCTTGGGATTTTTCCTTGTCTTTGAATTTGCGAAGTCTTGGTGATTTTCTTTTGGGATCTATCCTGTTTGGAATTTGTTCAACTTACTGCACGCCTGCCTTCTCATCTTTCATGGTGTTAGGGAAGTTTTCTTCTAACAACTACTGGGCAATTTTCACAATTGTTTTTCCATCTCTGCCTATTAGGAAATTCTAATCACATGTAAATTAAGTTACTCCTCTTGTAGTGTCCCTCTTACAACTTAGACTTCCTTTGGATTTTTCTGTTCGTTTTTGATGATTCTTATTCTAACAGCTATATATTGAGAGATTTGTCTTCAATCTCACTAATTTGATCTTTCATTGACTCGATTCTACTTCTTTGTCCTTTCAATGTATTATCTATTTCTGAAGTCTTAATATTCTGGGTTTTAATTGCTGTTTTTGTTGTTGATGTTAGGTGCCAACGAGGCAGTACTGACTCATAGCGACCTTAAGCACAGCAGAACGAAACACGGCCCAATCCTGGGCCAACCTCACTACTGTTGCCATGCTTGAGTCCATTGATGCCGCCACTTGACCAGTCCATCTCGTTGGGGGTCTTCCTCTTTTTTCTCAGACCCTCCACCTTACCTAACATGATATCCTTCTCCAGTGACTGGGCCCTCCTGATAATATATCTGAAGTATGAGAGATGAAGTTTGGCCATCTTGGCCTCCAAGGAACACTCTGGCTGCACTTCTTCCAAAACAGATCTATTGGTTCTTTTGGTAGCCCATAGCACTTTCAATATTCTTCTCCAACACCATAACTCAAAAGCATCAATTCTTCTATGGTCTTCCTTATTCACTGTCCAGCTTTCTCATGCACATGAAGTTATCGCATGCACATGAAGATAATACCATGGCTTGGGTAAGGTGCACCTTAGTCCTCAAGCGGACATCTTTGCTCTTCAACACTTTAAAAAGGTCTTGTGCAGCAGATTTGCCTAAAGCAATACATTGTTTGATTTCTTGACTGCTGCTTCCATGAGTGTTGATAGTTGATCCAAAAAGAATGAAGTCCTGACGACTTCAAACTTTTCTCCATTG